AGATATCTTCTCTTTGGTGATGGCATTTCTAGCAGATAACTTTGATGGGCAGCAGTAGAATTCTCACCTTCCCTGAGGGTTAGATACCTGGCCAGAGTACTTCATACATGACTACCGTCCCCTGATAAATGGAGACTTACATGTTTCCAAGTAGGTTTCAGCAGAATTTCTCGAGTAAGTCACACTAAGGAGAAAGGCCTGCTGATTTACTGAAGAAAATCAGCCAATGAAACAGTGAATCATGTAGGTCTAATCTACTGACTCTCATGGACATGACACACAGTGAGGCTGCTTTGTCCCTGTGCTGAGGGTTACCAGAAATTGGAGGCTGACATGATGGTTGCTAATGCAAAGGCATTTGACTCTGTGGATCACAATAAATTGTGGCTAACCTTGAGGAAAATGGGACTCTCAGAACACTTATATATGAAACCTATACTTAGACCAAAAAGCAGTCCTCAGGACAGAGCAAGGAAACACTGCATGGTTCAAAGTCAGTAAAGAATGTGTCAGAAATGCATCTTGTTCCCATACCTTTTCAATCTGTATGCAGAACAGATCATTTGAGAGGCAGGGCTTTATGAGGAGGAGTGTGGCATCATGATTAGAGGAAAACTCATTAACAGCCTACGATATGCAGCTGCCACAAGTCTTCTTGCTGAAACTGAAGAAGACCTGAATGAAAAAGGTCAAGGATTGTAGTCTGTAATATGGATTGAAGCTCAATATCAAGAAGACAAAGATTCTAACCCTGGGCCAATTGGCAGCACCATAATAGATGGAGAAGTGATTGAGGTTGTTAGCAGTTACAGCTTGCTCAGTTCCACATTCAACACGGTTAACACCAGCAGTCAGAAATCAAAAGATGAATTGCATTGGGAAAATCTGCTGTCTTGGACCTCTCAGAGTGCTGAAGAACAACAATATCAGTCTAGATAAAAACGTGTGCCTAATTCAGGCCATGGTATTCCCAATTACTTGTTATGCTTCAGAAAGTTGAACGGTGACTAAGGAGACCATATGAATAGATGCCTTCTAGTTGTGGTTCTGGAGAAGAGTCTTAAACATTTCATGAACTGTCAAGAAAACAAATAGGTCTCTCTTGGAGAGAGTGAAACTAAGTCTCTCTTTTAAGGCTAGAATTTTGAACCTCCATCTCACTTAGTTTGGTCAGGTGGACAGGATATAGCGGTCCTTGGAGAGGGACATCATGCTCAGAAGGGTAGACTGATAATCCAGGAGAAGACTCCAGGTGAGATCGATTGATACAGTAACTGGGGCAATGGGGGTTGGTGTGTCAGAATTAGTGAGACCGTTTCAGAACAGGGAAGGTTTCAGAGCTGCTGTACAAAGGGTCACAAGTGACTCAATGAACAATAACATACTATAACAGATTTGGAAGCAAGAATGGCATCCAGTTCCTAAACAACATGCCTCCGGAAACTCTGTGAACTTGGATAAATGTCGTTAGTTGTAGTGGGCCTTCAGGCCTTTTATTTATAGCACGACTCACTGTGAGTCATGCTTGACTGAAAAGCAATCAACAGCAACAACAAAGCACAAAAATGTTCGTGAGCTTCGCTGAGTCTCTGCATTGTCTATCCTTCGTTCACTTGGCCATTGTTGAAAACATGTCTCTCCCAAGCTGGACTTCATTATATATGCAAACAGAGATCATCCTGATCTTCAGAGTTATATTATTAGTAAGTTAGATAGTAGAGAAGGCTGCATATATTTAGTAAGTTCCTGAAGAAATATGAAATAATTAGTACTTAGCATTTTTTCGCGGGTGCCATGCACAAAACAGGCTTATAACTTGGTGGCAGAAATGTAGACTGCTATTAGCTTTATGAAAGTTAGTTTGACAGTGTGTGGCAAGAGACTTAAAAATTCTTATGTCTTACTAATTCAGTTGCTAAAATTTTAACCTTAAAGAAATAAAATATACATAAAGACATAATTATTAAAATCTTTATCTTGACATGTATAATTGAAACGAAGTCAAATATTCACTAGTTGGGTAATGTTTCAGTAAGCTATGCATTGATGTTATATCCATCAGAGTTTCTTAGTATTGGTTCACTTGACATTTTGCCACATAATTCTGTCATAGAAAACTATCCTGAGTACCCTGGGATGTTTAGCCATGTTCCTCATCTGTGCTGACCAATGCCGAAAATCATTATTTGGAAGTTTTTAGAATCAAAATAATTATATAAAATTGTTCAGTATATTCTACTGATATTGAACCAATATTAATTTATAATCATCTTATAGGACACAGGAGAACTCTTGTCTTTGGGTTTACACAGCTCTGAATCTTTCGAGTCTGAATCTTTTCAACTGCTCATCTTTTAGTTAGCATTTGAGTGCTTAATCACTGTACTACCAGGATTTCATTGATGAATACAAAAGTAAAAGCATAATTTCACTATATCAGTATAAATTAAGAAAAATAATCAAATTTTATGATAGCATTAAAAGCATTTATCATATGGAATCAGTTATTAACAAAAAAGCCTCTGCTCTTCCCAAAACTGAAGCCAAAGCAAAGGCTGAAGGCCAAGAAGTCCTGTAGGGCATCCACAGCCCCAGGAAAAAAAGATAAGATACACGTCACCCATCTTCTCGTGGCCTAAGATGCTGAGACTCTGCAGGCATCCCAGATCCCCCTGAAAGAGTGTCCCCAGGAGGAACAAAGCTTGACAACTATACCATCATCAAGTTTCTCCTGATCACTGAAAAAGATAGAAGATAACAACACAATTGTGTTCATTATGGATGTCAAAGCCGAGAAGTACCAAATTAAACAAGCTATAAAGAAACTCTGTAACATTGATGTGGCCAAGCAGTGTCAACACCTTGATGGAGAGAAGAAGGCCTGTGTTCGACCTGTTCCTGACTATGATGCTTTGGATATTGCCAACAAAATTGGGATCATCTAAATTGAGTCTGGCTTGCTGATTATAAATACAAATTTTTCTCAGAAAAAAAAATTGAAAAGGAGGAAATCAATTTAACAGCAATATTGAATATCTTCTACATGTGAGGTATCAATATTAAGTTCTAGAAAGTATCCTAAAGAGATTAAAACAGTGATATCTAGAGGAAGCAGCCCAACGATTATATCCAAGTCTCCTCATGATCCTCATCTATAGAAAGGAGAAAATACCTGTGTCACATAACATTTGTGTATGCCATGTGTGCTCAATAAGTGTGAAGTGTTTTCCATTAAATGAGATCAGTGTGCCTTCTAGTATTTCTTTGCAGAAAGAAGTAAAAATAATTATTTTAAAGCTTTTTTTTGTATGTGTGTGTGCATATATATATTTCTTCTGTGTCTTCAAGTCAACCATAATTCAGAGTGACCCTGTGAACAGTCGCTCTGAGCCTGCTCTATCCTGTGCCATCCTCAGCATCTCCGAAATACTAGAGCCCATTGTTATAATCACTGTGTCGATACATCTCTTGGAGGATCTTCCTCTCTTACACTGATCCTCTTAACTTTCCCAAGCAAAGCATCACAGTCCAAGAATTGGTCCCTCCTAACAACATGCTCAAAGTATATGAGACAGAGCTTCACCTCCTTGTTTCCAAGGAGCAGCTGGGTTTCACTTTCTGCAGGACAGATGTCTGTTCTCTTGTCAGTCATGGACATCCATGGACTCTTCTCCAATACTACAACTGAAGGGCATCAATAATTCATCTGTCATCCTTAGTAATTGTCCCACTTTCGCATGCATAGGAAGAAATTGAAAAGATATAGAACACTCTTATTCTTGAGAAAGAAGTAATTTGAGTAAGTGAAAAATAGTTCATAGGGTTGTATGTTAATGGTGCTCATTTAAAAGAACATTCTGCATGCTAAGTGTCCTGAATACATTGTCTGAAATATTTGTGATATCAAATTAATAATGGGATTTTCCTCTGTATTATTAATATAAAAGTACTTTTTTCTTTGTGTGTACTTAACTACCTCCATCATAAATAATGTTCAGCTCAAGCTAATATCACTGTTTGTTTGTAAGCTCATGGTAATGGGGCACCATTCTTTGAATAATGTCTAGACATATCATTAGGAGATATTATTATGCTCAAAAGCTGGAAAAACTAGCAAAAACGTACTTTAGTTGTTTTTCATATGCATGCCTTTTCTCAGGAAAAAAAGCTTATCTGTACTCTTCATTATTTGTTCCTGATTCCCACTCCTACCAATCAAACTTTGCTACTCCTTTGCATAGTCACAGTATTAAAAGAATGTTCTTTTTAAAAGTAAATATTGTCACTGAAATTTAGGGAAGAATTTGGCCAGTGTTTTTCAGGTTACATTGGATTTTTTTTTTATTTATTTAAGCACTTATCTCATATGGGCAGTGTATGGTATGAGGCTCAATGCTGTATAAATTTTGGGCTCAGTTTTGTTTCTTAAATGGAAAGTAAAAATCAGCAAAAAAAAGATTCTGCCTTGAAGATTCAAGCTTCATTCCAAAAAGTTTGTCCTCAGGGATAGTATTTTTGGTGACTGGAAAATAGTGTACATATTGTATTAAAATATGTATTATGTACAGCTCTGTACTTGGATTGAAAAGTTTCCTTGACAACATCATTTAACTTCTTACTGTTCTTTTCATGTTGCTAGTATACATATTTAATATGTTTTGTTCAAAACATCAATTAGACTTCAGTATAATCTTTATTAATACAGATCTGTTATTACAAGGAGACTGCTGAGCTATGATAATTTTCACAGCAGGAACAATAAAATATCGGCCCTCTATCTTGTTCTATCCCAGAATGCTTTGCTTTTTTCTTTTTTTAGAGGAAAAAAAATCTAGGATCTTCCATGGTATCTTTATGATTACAATGAGACCTTTGACACGCTTATAATAAAAAAAATATTTTTTATCCAAATGTGGACAAAACTCAAAGGTCTGAAATAGCAAATAGCCTCATTTGGTGCACCTCCCCATTTTAATATCTTATTTCCTTTCTTAATGCAGCCAGAACTCCTCATTTCCTGAGGATTCAGAACGTTGAAGTGAATGCCGGCCAGTTTGCCACCTTCCAGTGCAGCGCCATCGGCAGGACCGTGGCTGGAGACAGACTGTGGTTACAGGTATGGTCAGATAGGAGATGGAGAACATGGGTCCTTCTTCAGATACCTTCCTAGGATGCATGGCCTTGCCTCCCTTCCATAATAATGAGTGATCAGATTACTAAGAGTTCTACATAAAGGTCTACATATTCATTTTCTTTACTGATGGCTTAGCCACCTTGTTTGAAAAATCAGTTACCAAATTACTTTTAGCAATATATTTAAATACATAATTACCCTTTATCCTCTTTGAGAGAAATATAAGGAATTTGAAACAAAACACAATGACTTCTTGATATTCTTTTTGGTTTGAATTTATGCAACACTAAGCCAAGACTTTATCTTGCACACTTCATCTTGTGCATATTGTTTGGGGGGCACCGGTCCTTGGAAGAAGACTTCTTACTGGGAAAATTAGAGGTTGGGAACAACAGAAGAAAACATTCAGTTAGGTGAATTAATACAATGGCTACAACAATGGACTTAAGCTGTGTGGAGAATGTTAGGATGGAGTGGGGTAAGGCAGGGTTTCCATCTGTTCCGAGTAGGCTGCTATCCATTCATAGTTGACTTGATGACCTCTGATTACAACCATAAGCCAAAACGTAAACATCATAAGGGGCACAGATGGTTCAAATACATGGCTGCTAATAAAGAACTGGAGGTTTGAAACTACATAGGATCACTTGTCAGAAAGTCCTAGCAATCTATCAGAGGAGACAGGCATTGAAAAGCCTGAGTAGTGCAGCTCTGCCCTGACCCACATGGGTCATGTTTAGACCAAAGTCAGCCTTGGCTGGGCTGTAACTGGCTTACTGGTTTGGTTTGTTGTTGTTTTCCTCTAAGAATATACTAATATATCTTTTGTTTCTGAGAATTCAGATACAGGATTTAGTGTAATTTTAGTAATTTGTATGAATTGCAATCTTTGAAACTACTCTGTTTTTCATGAAAACTGGGTTTGTGAATCTGCTTAAATAGGAGCAATTCACTGGCACAAGAATGAAGCTGGGGGGGTGAGTGAAATTGAAAGAATGTATTCAAATTTGTATTTGAAATTTGTAAATAAATTAATAGAAAAATAATTGTTTTTTTTTAAAAAAAGAGTGAAGCTGGGTCACCTGGCTTCTGAACCATGTCACCCACTTCTTTAGGCTCTAGTTGTTTTTTAATCATAATTTTCTCCAATCCCATGTTGTTTTTTTTATGTAAAGCATTATTCTAGAGGTTGATAATTCTTAATTTTGACTAGCACTGCTCTATTTTTTTAATTTTTATTTTATATTTGGTTATTTTTAAAGTCCATATACTTTGGTTTTCAAACAGGATGTTTCCCATTTTCCCACCCATCAGACTGTGGGACTCTGATTAACACCCCCCCCTTCTTTATATTTGTAAGTGTTAGTTTTTGTTTGATTCTGGTTGTTGTTTTGTGGGGTTTCTGTTTTGTTTTTTAAGGGAAATCATGTATCCTTACAGCTTTTGTGATTGGTTTGTTAATTATTTAATACATAGTTTTACCTTGCTGCTAAACTGAAGCAAATTGAGTTTTCTTTTTGGTGGAAGAGTGTGTGTGTGTGTGTGTGTGTGTGTGAGAGAGAGAGAGAGAGAGAGAGAGAGAGAGAGGTGTAAAAGTTTACAAAGCATTTTTTTTTCTGTTATTTATGCACATTTTATTCCATACCATTAATTACAGTCCCTACAGTGGCAGATCATCCATTCATCCCATACTGTTTTTCCTTTTAACTGTAATAACTTACATGTTTTAAGCCATGTTCCACCTCTTGGCTTCCAGACAAACTTATATCTAATCATGATTACAATGTGTTGTAATGGTATTGCTGTTGTTGCTGGTATGTGCCTTTGAGTCACCTGTGACCCATAGCGACCCTATCTACAATAGCTCTGAAGACTGCCTTGTCCTGAGCCACTCTTACTGACTCCATCAAACCTATTCCCATTGCCCTAGTCACTGTGTAAGTTCATGTCATCCAGGATATTCCTCTCCTACACTGTCCCTCCATCATTCCATACATGATGTCTTTCTCTAAGGACCAGTCCTTCCTGGCCACATGCCTAAAGCAGGTAAGACAGAGCTTCAAAATGCTAGCCTCCTAGGAAAAACGAGGTTTCACTTTCTCCCAGACAGACCTCTTTTTCTTGGAGGTCGATGGTATGTTCAAAAGGCTTCTCCCACACCATTACTCAAAGACATCAATTTTTTTTTTCATTATTATTAAATTTTATTAGTTTTAATGAAAATTTACAGAGATTTTGGGTTCTTATTCATTCATTGTTGCACTGCTTTCTCTACCCTCCTCCCCAGTTC